ATAAAACATGAAATTAACTTAACTAAATAGTAGGAAAATACCTAATTTGACAGTACTTAGTATTAAAAAAAAAAATCTTGATATATTGGATTCTAGAAAGTTGTAATACTCAATAAAATGTTATGCATATAACTGTGGATAGTTTTACTAAATAGTTCTCTACTGTCATTAAAATACGCTAAATTATGGATATAGTGGGAAATAGGCCTAACTGCAAATACTTTCGCTCATAATCTTGATCGTAAGTTATAAAGCTTTCTCAAAAAGAAGTGAATGAAAGGATGAAAGAAGCTTCGTAAAATTTATCTCAATAAATATAAAATTTCAAAAAAGTCTGAAGAAAGTGCAACACGCATATTGTATTACTCTGAAATAAATGACTTATCTGTAAATTTAATAAATTACTTCCGCTCCCTCATAAATATTATCTTAAGTTTTAATCACATTTTTCAATGTTACATTTTCCTATTCGATTAATATAATAACTTAAATACCAGTAAATAGATTCGAAATCATTTTAAATTAAATCTATGGTTGATAATATATTTCAGTAATTTTTATTCGAGTTATAATGACCTATTTAAGCATTCCCTAAAAACATTAATATTATTCTAAATATGTGAAATGATAAATATTAACCCGCATATTTACCGTGACTTACTGAAAGCACAACATCTTATGAAATAACTTTTTCTGAGCTAATAATCGATGACGTTTCATACGATTTTTTAATTTACACGTTAGTAAAAGCACTAACCTACGCCATATTACACTATGTATAATTGGTAATTTTTATATTATATTCCCTATCATCTCTTTGATTGAACATCGAATATAAGACATTTAACTTGATATTTCTCTCTATTATAATTAAAACATTTTTGTTGAGTATTTGAACTGTTGCATAATGAAATTGTATATAGTAATTTCTCATGTGATTCAAACTATCATCTACAAGTTAATATAGTAGAATTATAAAGTTCAATTCATTTTGTTCATTTAAATGTTGAAATAATTAAATAATTTGTAAAAATAACGAAGTCCTTTATACTAAATTAAATTATTTTAAAAATCAAAGGTATAGGTAGATAATTCATATATTTACGTGAATAATCGATACATGTTGAGTGTCTAAAGACATTAATTCGACGAAATGTTGAAAGTCTTGCTCCCGGAAATTTAAAACGATTTATTGAATTTTTTAAACTTTTTAAATATCAGCGCTAAAAACAGATTATTACCAAATTTGTCGAATTTAAATATTTTTCGTAATTTACATAATCCTAAAGTCATTTGCGTTTTCTTTTTCGTATAATATTACAATTTCAACTATTTCATAATATTAGAAAAATCTGGTTTTTAATATCAAATTGGAGCGACATCAATGTTTCATTTATGTTATGCATCTTTCTTCATTGATATAGAAATTCACTCTGCATTAATGTACATAGGATTTCTGAATAAAATCTTAAAAAAATTGTTTTTAATTCGAAACATAAGAGAGGAATAAGTTACCAAGTTTTGTCTATTTTTACGATATAAATATAATAATAAGATTCTCGTTTAAAAGATTTACATTATGTAGAAAGTGTATGTAATTTATAAGATATTCTTGAATTTTTGAATGTTTAAATGATTAAATGCTGTTTTAACTGATACTACGATAGTCGATGACGATTCTAAAAAGTTTATATAAATATAAATACTCATAAATACTAATTATTACTAATAAATTTATGAAAAATAGCAATTAATGTAGATAAATGTCTGTGAAATATGCAAAATTTGTTTGTAAATTAAATAATGAATTTAACGTATATTCCAATCACGTAGTATTGCAATAACATTTTAATATGTACTATGCACTTCACTTGAAGTTGCATTGTGCGTTCCTAATGTACTTGCATAACAAGACATCCACGGAAAAATCCATTAAATGTTTATTGTTTTGGAAAGTCAGTGAATTAGTAAATTAACATAAGTAATTCTAATATTTTCACACACTTTTGCAAGTAAATAATTTATATAAACATTATAAATAATATAGATAGATAAGAACATGAAATGATTAGCCTTAGCACATATTTACTTTCGGAAAAATGGCTTATGCTTATTTTAATAATAAAAAAAATAATAAAAAAAAAATAAAAAAAAAAATACAGTATTTGATAAATAAATATCTAATCTTAAACTTCCGTAGCAGCGCAATGCAATACAAATATGTACACCTAAGCTATTTAAAACTAGTTTTAATAAATATTAAAGTCTTGCTTCGAGCGAGCTGATTCGAGCGAATCGATTTTTTTAGAATTATAAGACTCCAAGTCCGTTTAAAGCAATGAGCGATAGAGATAAATTTTGAAATAAAATATCCCCTCTTTATTGTCAATTATAAAAGTCTACCTTAGGATAAGGAAGCTGAAAATTTTTACGTTTTTGCCAGTTAATTGCGTAGGCAAAGTTACTCCCAATGTAATTTTATCCTCTCATTGTGGTTTAATAATTCTATAAGATTAAAAAAATATTTATTATTTATTTCGCAATATACAATAAGCCGTCTTCCCTCGATCTATCCACATGATCGCCATTCGCAAGAGAGCAATATCGACTTGCCATTATTAATCCACTTTGTCATCGATATTACACAAAAATCCATATTTTTGGCAAACGCTTGCAAAAGCAAACTCGCTTTACGATTACCGAGGCGCAATTGTAGCAATGATACGATACATTACTTCAAGGTAATATCTCCGATAAAGCTTGCGTCGCGAGCCAACACGACACCGTTGCAACATCAAAAATAAAAACATCGGTGCGCAGAACATAGGCGTTGGATGATGGTGGCCCTATCATAACAGCGTCGTCGGCGTTTCAGACCTGGGAGCCTCGTCTCCGCGGGCGGCTTCTCGGCTCTCCTCCTGCCGCACTCGGAATTTTGCAGGATCGCGCCTGTTCGTCGCGGCATTGCGTGCTTGCGCAACTCGGTAGCCGTTGCTCCCATTTACGAGCTCGATTTTTATTTAAGCGCCGCTTCCCTGTGCCGCTCTGCGTGGGAGTTGACGCGCTTTCCCTTGAGCTCGACTACGGGCGGCGGCAGCCCGTCTCCTGGATTAGGCGCGACCGAGCTCCACGATGATTTAATCGTGTGGGCTGCGTTTGCTCTGCACTTCTTTCCCTTTTTGCTTTCCGTCCGAATGACGGCGTCGTTTACCGATCGAGCCACTGCACGCGCTCTCGCTCTTGTCGTTGGCGAGGAATGCTACGCCCGAGTACCTTTCCCGCGCGTTTGCGCTCGATCAACCTTGACATATTACTTGCGCACTCCCGATTGCTCTATTTGGGCCGAAGGATCCGCGTTTGGGTAAAGCCTTTCGGTACGAGCGATGATGACCCCCATTACGACGAGACTCTAACCGCCGAACAATATAAAAAAAAGCTGCACTAGAAGTATTTAGTGTAAAGTCTACTATAATGGACATTAATTCAATGCAGTGAGAGGTAATATTTGTCTTATATTTCGAATTATTTTCATGAATTTATCGATATTTATTATTGCCTTCAACGACTTTAAAGCCATGATATATTCACTGTTTATTGTGGACAAATTTATACTATAAGAATACTTACTGTACCAAATGTAATACAAACAAAATACATTATTTTCGAATTTTACTTAAATACAGAATTAAATTTTGTTTAGTCATGTGATCGGGCAATAAGTCAAAAGTCTCATATTAATAATACCTCTTGTAGAAGTTATTGACTTATCATATTTAAATATTTTCCATTTAACAACTACAATTATTCTATCGAATAATTAAGATAATTAAACGCGTAATTCAAATTTACTGTATATTATTACGAGGGTGTGCATAAAATTATATAACATTACATTGCATTCCTACGGGTATTCGAAGGTGCAGCAGAAAATTGCCATTTAGTTCTTTCAATTATATGTAATTTAACTTGAATAGATATATTACGACTATTCATTCTTAATTTATTTGGCGCAATTTATTTTGAGTCTAGCAAAACAAATTGTACCTATAGCCTAATTGCAATAAAATTTTAGTATTTCGTTATTAAAAATCGATATCTTAAAAATTATACAGAATCACAAAATATTATGAAATTTCAATAAGTTATTAATATTTCATTATAAATTTTATTATTACGAAAATATATGATGATGATTAACATTATCGGATAAATAACTAATAACATAATTAATACGTTTTTGAAAATGGTATTGTCGCATATGTTTATTCTGCTTTCTGTAATATTGAAAATTCCCGAGTACAATATAAAGATAAATAGTCAGTCTTTTATATATATATTAATTATATATTATAATATATAATATAATATAAAATTAAAGAAAACATTCTAAGGTTTCAAGCGTAAATTATTCATTAAAACGCTTATCCAATAATGTTACGTATCATCGAAAACATGATTGTAGAATAAAAATGATGTCATTATAAAATAAAAAATATATCAGAATTAACAATAAACACAATTTGATAAAAATTTTCAACTTTGTATTTTAAGATTTTATTTTATAATTAAATAAATTATTTTCAATAATAAAATTTAACAGGCTTTTAGTATTTTTTAAATTCACTGTAATTATTATAGGATTGGAAAGTAGAAAGAAAACAATTTACAATTGAATGCAGAAGGAACGTGCTTATTTGATTTTTAATAATGCAAAATTATTCATAAAATTATTCAGTTGTAGAATCAGTTAAAATGGAATGATCGATAATTCAATATAATACTAAAAAATGTATTGAAATTATCATGCACACAAATACACGACTAATATTGAATTTTTTTAAGCCATTTTTGGTTTATTTAGTTTATAAATTTCATTTTATTTAGTTAATAAAAGAGCATGTGGTTCGAGTATCTTAAACATATTAAAATTAAATGAATAATCATAATTATAAAAACGTATATCATGTAATTATAAAAGATTATTCTTTTTATATTCGCAGAATCTCCAAAAATCCCTTATTTTGGAACATAAATTACGGCCAGTTTATAAGCAACAAAAGCATACTACATATAAGAATTTTCTAAAAAATGGTAAGTCATAGTAAAAATTTCAATTTAATGAATTTATAATAATAAAATAGCTCTAAAAAATTACCTGTAATTGAACATGGGATTAAACCTGTATTAAACATGTAATTAAACCTATAATTAAACATTAAATATGGGAATTGAATCTCTGTTAGTCGAAAAACAAATGTAAAGACAAGACAGTTTTATCTTTTCAAATACCGTAAATGCAAGCTGGTTTGCTTATGCAGCATTCCAAATGTAATTTTAAACTTTTATATAAAAATTTCAGAAAAATAGAATTTTGTAAGTCTTTTAGTTTACGTATTTTCTTAATGCAAAATTACTACATAAAATTAATTTAAATTATGAACCTTTCAGTTCAAGATACGTCAGAAATAGTTGAATTTACAAGTTGGAGTGACTGGTCCGTTTGCGACAGATATTGTTTTCAAAATCGTGTAAAGAAATGTCGAGTAAGAAAAAAATGCGGCAATACTATAATGAAAGTAAGTAGTTGATTAATTATTTTTAATTTTTATCGAATATATTGTATAATAAATAATCCGATTTTTAGGAGGAACGCAATTGTACTCACGAAGGAATAGGAGGACGCGCAACATGCAAACAGCATCAACAAAGATTAGCTCGTCGAAAAGCCCGGCGATTTCGAATTGTACAGGTATAAATAAATAAATAAATAAATATATATATATATATATATGTTCATAGATAGATGATTTATTACAATCAAGTTTATTATTAGTATGCGTTAAAATCAATATTTTAATAAATGGATGTATCATTATATGATAAGATATACTTTGTGTGGAAAAGCAGTCTGTGAAATAATTTAAATTACACATACTATAATAAATTGACAACAATATTTTATAATATAGTTTTATCAATTTGAAAAATATCATTATATACAAAATAACAGCATATAATTCAAAATAATTTAAATTTAAAAGATCAGGTGACTTGTACTCACACTTTTTACTTACACTCATGTTAATAGTTTATAAGACTGCATATGTGTGAAAGTATTTAATATCTTAAAATGAATAAATGCATTTACTTAAGTATTTAAAGTAACTTTATGTATAACGTTTAAAGCTATGATAATTTTCGACTTTATAATAATTAAATACTTTATAGATACCTGAAGAAGCTAAACCGCGGCATGGACGTGGTAAAAATAAAGAGGATTGGTTCACTGGACACTACGGTAAATGGAGTAAATGGTCTCCATGTACGAGATCTTGTACGACTCAACGCCACAGGTAATACACATTTGTATTTTCATGTATGCATATATATTTTTATTTTATTAATTATATTCAATAATAATTGTATCTATAGATGGTGTAGAATACCTGGTTTATGTTGGAAAGATGTGATTCGCCAAAGTGCCTATTGTTATATTGAAGGAAGTTATTGCCAAAGGTGGATTCGACGAAAAATTCGTGATAATTATGAAGATTTTAGTAATGGTAAATTAAAATTTTGTTACGCAATAATAATAAAAAGATGGAGTTTTCTAGTTATTTTTTTTTTTTATCAATTAATCTCCGCGATTCATACTAAAAGTACAAATTCATAACCACAATACAATGAATGCTATTGTTAAAGTAATTATGTGTCTGTGTAGATTTAATGGTAGACAAATATGACGTTAATATAAATGGTATTGATAATTCGACCAGTGTCGACGAAGATGTATGGAAATGTGGGATTTCAAAGAAGAATTCAAGACTGTCGTATTTTACGAGAATTATTGGTGGTCGTCCAACTGCTCCTGCCAGTTGGCCATGGCAAGTTGCTGTTTTGAATAGATATGGAGTGAGTAATTTTTAATCGGATCGAGTGGAAATATTTATTAATTTCTTACAATTTATTATTTATATATTTTGAATATGTAAAGTGGCTCGCACAAGTAATAAGACAAAAAATATTAAATCAAATGCACTATTTCTTTTCGTTTTATAAGAATTCTGAACGCAGCTCATTATAATTTTATCTCGAATAGTTTACAAATGAAATAAGTAAAACAATTATTTTCAGGAAGCTTTCTGCGGCGGAACTTTAGTTTCTCCCCGTTGGGTGTTAACTGCTGCCCATTGTGTTAGAAAACGACTTTCCGTTCGCATAGGAGAATATAATCTTTTAATTAAGGAAGGAACTGAAATTGAATTACGAGTATGAATAACATTACAAGACAATAGTAATTTTAATAAAATACTATGGGATATTAATGACGCGCTTTTGTTATAGGTCGATTATGCAGTAACTCATCCAAAATATAATGCACATACAGTTGATAACGATATTGCTTTATTGCGTCTACCAATTACGCTGACACCTTCGGATTCTAGAGGGATAGCTTGTCTGCCAACTCCTTGGCAAGATTTACCTAATGATCAGTTGTGCACAATTATTGGATGGGGTAAAGCCAATGCCTCGCACGAATTTGGCACGGACGTTCTTCATGAAGCCAGGGTAAGTAACCAAAATTATTTTAATAGAACTGAATATGTCGAATGAATACATAAAACTATAATGAATTTTTAAAACAATTTTAACAAATAAGTATTTGACCTTACTTTTTTTTATAAAAAAATTATTAGAAAGTAACGAATATAAATTAATTTTGTTGCAGATACCAATAGTGTCTGACAAGATATGCCGTAATGTGTATGTTGATTACAAAATTACTGGCAACATGTTTTGTGCTGGTTACCGACGAGGACGAATGGACTCTTGCGCTGGTGATAGTGGTGGTCCATTACTTTGCAGGAATCCTGAGAAAACCGATCATCCTTGGACAATTTTCGGAATAACTAGTTTTGGCGAAGGCTGTGGAAAGCGTGGAAAATACGGGATCTATGCCCGCTTATCTAATTACGTCCACTGGATTACTAAAGTTATTAAACAGACAGATGCCTATGCGATTTAAAGATCATAAATAAATGTACAACCCATTTTTAATTTATAAAAATATTAGCAACTTTACAATGCTAGTAGATTGTATATTTACCACAAAGTCGATATTTTATAAATCGTAATTTATTTTTTAAGAATAAACAGTTTTATTATGTAAGAATAAGCTGATTAAATTAGCCTTTTAAAGTTGCTTTCATTAATATTTTTTGTGAATTTACATGACCTGTACTGGACCAAATAATTTATAAAATCAAAATGTTTTTAATAACAGTATAATCTTCTCGACTTAAAAACGAAAAATGAATGTGTTATTATTTTTTGTATACGCTTTTTCATAAATATAAAGACCTAATCAATAATATATTAACTATGATTAATTATCCTCATTACATTATATTATAAATTTATACACAAATACAACAAATTTAACATCGACTATTTAATTATCTAGCTTAATGTTTTCTTTCTGCTTTTATTTTGTATAATAAAAAATCATTAAACAAAAGGAATACAATCGATAATGCAGTTATTGGAAAAATTAATAAGTACATTTATATATAATAGGATTAAATTATTTCTTATTGAGTGTTGAATAATGGTTGTGATAAATTAATTATGCATTGGGCGAATGTTTTGAAATATACTTTTTAATTAAATTTACATTTTGAAAAATCCATTTCGGGATGTTGCTCCATGAATCTAAAAATAAATAAATAGTTAAATTTAGAAAATACATCAATTATAAGTAAAGCAAGTAATGTAAAGGTAAATCGCTTTTTATTAAATTAATATTGACTCATTCCTCGTATAAGCGAATTTTATTAATAACTTACTTTTTGATAACGTCTTGTTTCTTTTGTTCATCTGATGTGGGCAGTCCAAGCTCCTTCTGGCGCTGATCGTACATCATTTTCTCAACGAGACCTCGAGTTTCGCCATCAAGATCAGAAAGCTTACTTGGCTCTGGATTAACTTTTTTCGTACTAATTTCGGGATCACTTGTTACAACATTTGCCCACCATTGCATCTTGTTTATCTAAAATAATTTCAAAAGTTTAGGAATTAATATGATTAAAAAAATATTCTGTAAATAGTTATTCCAACAATTAATAGATTTTATGCACATATCGATAGGATTTTAAACGTAGTAATCTTTCAACATTTATTTTCTTTATTTATTTATAGCTATTAATTAAGCGAATGCATTTAACTCGAATGTTACTATGTATATTTTAAAATCATAACATTTCACTCGTGATAATATTATATATATATATATATATATATATATATATATATTTTTTTTTTAAATAAAGTAACCTAATTTTATATAGCCATGTTAAGATCTATTAAATTTCTTTACGAGAAAATAGTAAAATTGTCTACTTTATTAAATATTATTTTAATTTTTCAAATAATAATATTAAGTACCAAATGTATGTCTATAAAGAACTCAGCTAGTTAAATAAAAATAAAAAGATTCAATTTACATTATAGAGAAATATTTTTTAATTGTGTGAACAATGTATATATATATACGTATAATGACTAATTTGATAAAATGATTTCAGATCCATTATATATAGAATTTTATATAATTTATTTATAGTGTAAGTTTTATACTTTCACTATATACAATTTATAATTACTAATACACAAACTATTAATAAGAGTTTCAACTATCATAGGAAATATCATATATAATATATTCTCTAACAATTTTTCTATTCATTTTTAATTGTTTCATAATTAATCAACATTCAATTTCTTTACATTTCACAGTCATAATAGAGATTAAAGTTGAAGTGAAGTTAGATTAAAACTTCTTTAAAAATTTTATAATAATCATTTTTTGTTGTAGCATTTACGATAAAATGTATTTATTTAATAAAATGTGATTTTTTCTATTAACATAAAAAAAAACGTATTGGAAAATTATATATAATATATATTCTAGATAAAGAAAATTAAATTTGCACAATTCTTATTTTTATTTATACTGACCTCTCTTCGACATTATTAATTTTTCTTACTATTACTATCGAAATTAGCCAAGTATTATCATATCAGTACTATTAGAATTTTACTAAACAATTTAATCGTATACATTTAAACAGTAATTTGACGTTTGTATTGACAATTATCTCATGCCTTTCAATTCTAAACCATCGCTAATAAGAGTAATTTTTCAGTGACTCGTTTTGTATTGAGCAATCACAAGTAAGAATGAAAGAAAAAGAAAATATTACTTATTCAAAATAGGTTTTCCTAGGCTACTTTAATAAGCCTTTTTACTTTTGAAGTACAATAATTATGAACAATATTAAAATTAAAATTTTCGTAATAAAAGAACTGCCTAATAACAAAATGAATTTAAAATTACTAATGTTTATGGGCCAAACTTATCGGTGATATTTGTTGTTTAATTGACATGGAATTCAAAATGATTATTTTTCATATCAAATTATTATTATCATTAATATTATGAATTAATTAAACTATTATAACATATTTTTTATAACTAATCAGTAATAAATACAATTTTTATATATGATAATTTAGCACAATGGGGAAATACATGTTGATGATTATAACATTACTCGCTTATTATATTATTAATAATTATTTATCTGAAAACATTTTAACGTTCTAATTTTACGCTGATTCTCCAAAGATTTAAAAGCATCGATAAGTATAGAGTGATTAAAGAATTTAGATTTTATAATCGTTTATAGCCGTTTTACTTGATTGCAAATCTATCTGTGTTCTTAAATGTTGGTAGAATTTTTTTTTATTATTTCATTTACTGAGAATTATCAAGGTTGGAATTATGATTTTTTTTTGCTTATCTAATATTGCATGTTTTCTAATAACTAATAAATATTGTTGTTGTTCGACTTTAACATATGCACTATTGTATCGTGTATATCCAATAATCGTTTGTATGCGTATAATAACATTTATAAATATGATCGATATTGTTCAGACATTAATATATAAATCTCATCATTATAATTATATACATGCCCTGTTTTAATTAATTTCAATTAATAATTACTGATAATATGCCGAATATATCAAAATTTATATAAAATTATTTATACATTTACAGATTTATTACAATAGCATTTTATAATTGAATAGTTTTTTTTATTCTAGATCATAGAATTAAATTTATGAAATGAATTGCAAATTGATCATTAAGCTTGTATAAAACATTATAAAAAATGAAAAAATTTACAACAATAAGCTTATTTAATAATAACATAAGTAATTTAATTTAAAAAATTCGTATTAGTATTTTCTTAAAGTAAACTTATATTTATTGTCTGAAATAAAAATCACTTAATCTTATAACACAATAACTTATTAATAATTTATTAATATCGATGATGCATTCCGTTAAGTAGATAAAAAAAGATTATACAATAAGGTGTCCAAAGAAAATAGATATGTTAAAAATACAGTCTTTTAAATAAAAAATTGTTTATTTAAAAAATTCGCACTTTATAGACGCAATTCAACTATTTGCTGTGAAGTAAATCACATTTAAGATTCTATCGTCCAACTTACTTGCCTTTACATAGTAAGTCTGTCATTATATATTATATACTAATTTTAGACTTTATTTTCCAGAAAAAATGTGTGTCGTAAATCTAAAGAATAACGTTTTGTAACCTGGTTATTAAATATTAGCTGGAAATCCGAATGAGAAAATAAGCTTAAAATTAATTAATAAAAGGAAAAATATAAAGTGCTTAAATTAAAAAGTGATAATATAATAAATTGTTCGTTACCCATCCTAGAAAGATGTGCTTCGACAATTTGTAGTTGATAATTATTAATAGTTTCATTGAAGATATAGATAATATAGAATATACTACAGGGATATTTATATTTAATTTCAACGACTATAAAATCAGATAATCAGATAAAATATAAAAGAACGTGTGCAATCTCAATAAATAACCTTTGTTATAAACGAGAAAAATCCATCGCACGACTTACCTTTTCCAAATTAATAAGGAGAACTTTTCCATCCTCGATAACCCATGTCGACTCTTCAAGTTTAACTTCATGCGGGAATTCGCCATCTATAATAGGCGGTTGGCCTTTCACGCCGCACCTTAAGTGCTTCTTTGTTATCGAAACTTGAACATCCTTTGGTCGCGCGCTAAAGCTCACTTTAAGCGGCACTCTCAACTGAAAAAATAAATATTCTACTATATAAACTAAAATTTTAAATCAAAGACGGCATTACGTGTGCATGCATTATTCATTGATTGATTCAATGAATTAAAATTTTGCTGGCATTAATCTATCTGGCCATTTTAGCTTTATTAACCTTTCAAATCGCTGCTTTCTTCTTAGAAATTTAATGTTAATCAATTTGATGTATTCAGAAATGCATTAAAATTAAAATTCATAATTAGAATTATAAATTACAATTAGATAAGACATAAAATTTCCAATAAATCGTTTTTTTTTTTTTTTTTTTGTAAATTTTTCAGAAACTTACGAATCTACTACTCTTATATTGCATAATGAATGCAAATTATAAAAATTCTTGGTTTGGAAATTCGAAAGTTCTCAAATATCAGCTGTATTTTTAAATTACCATGTAACATAGTCAATAACTAAACTAATAAATTTAATCAATTAGTCAAATTTTCATAAAATTGATAATAAAGTCGACAACGAAATAAAAAAAATCGATTTATTATTATTGAATGCGTGTAAGCATATAATTTCTATGACACTTTATTAATTTTACTTATTTCTAACTTGAGTTAAAATTTTGTAATAGTTCAATATGCTCCATTTGAGTATAGTACATATTATACATTTAAAAACATAGCAATCGCAAATTATAGTCGTTTTTGTGAATTCGTTAAAAAATATTTATGTATGCAGGCGTGCGTGACTGTAATGTAGCACTCAATTATCATATTTTTAAAAGTATTTTCTATTACGTATTGATAGTACGTATTGGTAGTCTGGTGTTTTTCTTCTGACTAATCGGAACTAACATTACTTTTCTTTATGTAAATAGTTTGACCTTATGTAAGGAGGAGGGCTTTAGTTTTAATTTATGATTCAAACGAAGCCCATAATAAAATAAAGATATAAATGTAAATAGAACGGGATACGAATCAGTTTAATGCTAAAAGTTGTTTCACGCTCTAATTATCAACGACGCGCATTCATCAAAATTGTACCAACTGATTATTTAGTACTTAAAATGGTGACAAAAAAAGTGAATAAAAAAAAAAAAAAAAAAAAAAAAAAAATTCATTAATTTCGCGCCAACCTCGCTATTTTTACAATTACTATATATTACCAAAGATATAAAATATATTAACCTCAGCAAAGGTGAGATTACACTATTTAATAATTGTATTTTGAAAAACCTTTGAGAACACAATTGTCAAATCATAAATGAAAAGAGTTCACAGGCAATTGGACATTTCAAAACATATCTCTTCTTCAATTTGGGTCTTAATTTTTATGTTTCAGTATCATACTAAGTCATTTGACATGCTCTCAGATTCAGTTTCATAGTCGCCGAGAGACCAAGTGAAAAGCACCAGTGCGTGGAAACGGATCATGGCTACGGTCTTGAGTCTCTTTCTCTCTCTCTCTCTCTCTCTCTCTCTCTCTCTCTCTCTCTCTCTCTCTCTTCTTTCTTTCTCTCTCGTATAATTATTTTAGTCAAAGCTAAATCGTAAGCTCCTATTTATAATTTCTCATATTAAAAATAATAATTCAACCATTCAAGTAACGTAAGACATTTAAAGGAGATGAACTATGTGAATTATTTTTGACTTCCCTTTCTATTTGACCGATTAAATAGACGTAGAATAATTATTAATAAAAAACGAATTAAACTGAAATATTTTCTTCTGAAATCAAATAAATGAACTTAACTGATATGAATATATCTGAATTAATTATTACTGAAAATACGTTAATATTTTCATATAGATGATAATAAATTGTTCATTAATTCGTAATTAATTATTTAATATTAAATATTTTCATCGCTATGTCAAAGATTTGAATAAACTTTACTTATTTAATATATACCATTACTAAATTTCTTATACAATGCATTTAATAAGAACACGTCAAACAGGTATTTAACAGCTGTATGGAATTAAATAATGAAAAATATTTTCCTTTTTATATCAAATTATGTAATACATAACATTCTTATAAATAAGATAGAAATTTAATGTCATACTATTCAATCTATTTTAAGAACATTTATACAATTCGAAAACCATTATTAAAATTATGAATTTGAAGGTTTTCCAGGTTTATGAATTATGCAAAATATGAATAATGCAAATTTTAATTACAGTCATATTATTTAATACTTATTTTATTTCAAAATATAATGCTTCAATTATTCTATCGAGTTAAATCATATTTAAAAAAAATGCTTAATTTACGGTTTTTGTGCTATTCTATTCTCTACATAATAACTAACTTCTTTTAGTATATTTATTAATGGCTATCTAGAAAAACTTTTTTTTTTGTATTGTAATATCTATATTGGATTATCTAAATACATTTTCATGAAGCAATATTTGTAACGTATAGGTATACATCTAATTTGCGTACTTGCATAAATTGTTTATATTATTATAAATATAATTTAAAGTTGAGTTTGAAGGACTTGAGTATGATAAAAACATGAGATAATTATTTCTGTTTTAACTATCAGCATTAACTGTGACATACTTTTTAAATTTGTCTTTCATAATGAATATTTTTTCCAAATGACTGATAAAAGGAATTCTGTACAATAATAACTAGATTAATAAATAATAAGAATATTGAATCCATTAATAAATTTAATTAATAGTATTAACAAATTGAACGATTTATATTAAAAATTAAAGTAATATAACGATTAATAATAAGTCATAAAACTTATTAAATAAAAAATTAGAAAAAATTTATAAAAATATTAAGAAAAATTTCAACTCAAATTAATTACTTCATTAGAGATCTGCATAATTTCAATACCAAGAACTATTTAATCTCATAAAATTATTTTAAAATAATACTAATGCTGTTAAGCTTTGGGTAACGTAAAATTATTGTAAATAGCGCAATATTATAATTCTGCAATTAAAACATTTATGAATATTTACTAATCAATTTTTGATAATATAAATTTAGCCGATGACTTTATTTGATGAATTATAATCATAATTTTTATGTATTCATAATCCAATGGATAAAGCAATTTCGAGATAAAAAATTAATATTAGAATAATTTATGAGTTAAATATATTTTAACATATACATATGTACCAAATATTTTTTATTAGACATTAATATGATTACTATATATATAGTTATTAAATAATTTCCTCACGTATTAAATACAGAATAATACTCGGATCACTTATTCATATTATATTTAAGGTAACAATTACTATATTGTTTCTTTATACGAATAGTGTGAAAATAATTTATTTAACAATAGATTCTAACTAGCAGTTTCAAGTTTTAAATTTTTTGTTTAATTATATTGATATTTTTAATTTAAGCTTCATCTAGTTGTTATATCACTTCGTTGCATATAAGTATATGAATTATTAATTTGAAATTTTTTATGAATAAATCAAATTTTTTAAATATCTATATAAACATCGTTAAAATTTTTTACCACAACAATAACAAATTAATATTTGATAATAGAATGATTTGTGTTTCAAAATGCAATTCATAATTTTATCATGCATTCATAAAATATTAAGATACTACTAATGTTTTATGTTTACAATGTTCTTATTCTATTTAAAACGAAAAGCTATTTTTAAACTTTGTTTTACGGAAATAGACATAGAATATGCAAATATAATTTTTAATTCTATTTAATGAAATATTATGCAAGCATCTTTTAATATATAAAAATATAAAATACTATGGGTTATACATTTTCAATATATTATGTATAATTATAAAATAAAAATGATGATAAAGTATCTACTAGAAAATAAAATATAAACTATAAATAAAAATATAAAATTTTAAAGATTTAACATAATCTCAAAGGGAATAATGAATATTAAAATAAAATAAAATTGATTAAGCTGATATTCGTAGAATGAAAAAAATTGAACATTTACATGATTTACCGTTCCGCTGGAATCTTTGTTAAAAATTAAAATTTATATAATTGTTTTTCATATTAGCAATTTATGGAAATTTTGTTTCTGATTTCATATAGATATTTACATGAAATTCTCAGTAATCAAGCTTACAATTTTTGTATGAAATTACGTATGCGTTATGTATGAATTATATCTTTGTATTGCCTGTGAGATATAGCAATAATAATGGTCAATAATTTATTTAAAATTAAAAGTATTTAAGTTAAGTAAATCAAAGCATAAGAATATTATGAATATTTTTAATTTAAAGTGATCAAGAACAACGATTCTAATAAGTACAACAAATAGAAACACGTCTGAATACATATTTTGCTGTTTTAATAATATGGACATTAGAGACTTTCATCTTATTAATATGAATAGATTTAACGGATTGTTTAAAAAAGTTTTTTCCTAATTATATCGACTATTATATTATTGTACATAATCGTAAAACGGTGAATGCAATGTGAAATAGAGAAGAACAAAAAGGAAGGAGTGTTAACCGTTACATAATAATTTACTAATTTAAGTAGGCAGTTGACATTAATATGAAAACTCGATGAATTTAACGAAATTCAGTCAATGATGTTCGTCAATTTTTCATGAGTCAGAATATTTCGTCGTGATGTTGTCGTGGTTATAGGCAACATAGCCATCATAACCGATAAAAGCCCACGTTTTAAGATTTTGAACGTTCCGGAACCTTGCGTTGATGGTATCTGGAATGTTAATCGCAATTATATAATTATTGATGAATGACGCGTCGTGTTCCCTCGTATATAAAGCATTAACGGGTTGATATAAAATCCCCTTAACTATTTATTCTACCAATTTAGGAGCAATGTAAACAGAAGGTTTAATTGGGCATATCTTAGGAATCATGGGGAGTTCATTAATCTTCGATTCAGCATGATTAAAATTTCACAATTCTCTATTTTATCCTTTCTACGAATCTACGAATGTAGGATTTGGTAATCTTATCGTAAATCAAGATTTTTATACTATATCGTTATGAAAAACTACTAGCAT